TCTATTGAACACCTATGGTTTTAATTTGTTTTCTATTGGGAACCGATGGTTTTAATTAGTTTTCTATTGGAAACCAATGGTTTTAATTAGTTACCCATTGGGAACCAATGGTTTTTATTAGTTTGCTATTGGAAACCAATTGTTGTACTTAGTTTGCTATTGGAAACTCATGGCTTGTATTAGTTTTCTATTGGGGGGGCAATGGTTTTAATTAGTTTTCTATTCGAAATCAATGGTTTCAATTGGAAACCAACTGTTTCTATTAGTTCTCGATTGGGACCCAATGGTTTTTATAAGTTTCCTATTGGAAACCCATTGTGCTACTTAGTTTCATATTGGAAACCAATGGTTTGTATTAGTTTTCTGTTGGGGGTGCAATGGTTTTAATTAGTTTTCTATTCGAAACCCATGGCTTCAGTGGAAACCAACTGTTTCTATTAGTTCTCTATTGGGAACCAATGGTTTTCATGAGTTTCCTATTGGAAACCAATTGTTTTTATTAGTTATCTTGGAAACCCATAGTTTTTATTATATCTCTATCGGAAACCAATGTTTTGTGTGTTTTAGTTTTCTACTGGAAACCAATGGTTTATTAGTAGTCTTCTATTGGGAAACCACTGGTTGTAATTAGCTTCCCATTGGAAACCAACCGTTTTAATTTGCTTTCTATTGGAAACCATTGGTTTTGTATTAACTTTCCATTGGCAACCATTGTTTTGTATGAGAGTTCTATTGGAAACCAATGGTTTTAATCAGTTTCCCATTGGAAACCAATTGATTTTATTCGTTTCTAGTGGAAACCAATGGGTTGTATTAGTTTCCTATTGGAAACCAATGGTTTTCATGAGTTTTCTATTGGGAAACCAATGGTTTTAATTAGGGAAATCAATGGTCTTAATTAGTTTTCTATTGGAAACCAATGGTTTTCATTAGTTTTCTATCGGGAACGAATGGTTTTCATTAGTTTTCTATTGGGAAGCCATTGGCTTTAATTAATTCGGGAAAACAGTAGTTTTAATTAGTGCCCCACTGGAACCCAATGGTTTTAATAAGTTTTCTATTGGCAACCAATGATTTGACTTCATTTTCGGTTGGAAACCAATTGTTTTTATTTGTTTTTTATGATTCCTGGAGAGTTCCTTCGGATTCCTGTGGGATTCCTTAAGTTTCCTTGAGAATCCTTGAGGATTCCTAGAGAATTCCTGAGGATTCCTCACAGCGTGCCAGCCATAAGGCAAGTGTGAAGGACGCGTAGTTTATATCGGGTTTTCGTACACCTGTATAGAAACGCAACCAAACTACCGGCCATAAACAGGCCGGCCATAGACGACGGGTGACCCTACTACTACTACTACTACTATTACTACTACTACTACTACTATTACTACTACGACTACTACTACTACTACTACTACTACTACTATGACTACTACTACTACTACTACTACTACTAGAACTACTACTACTACTACTACTACTACTACTACTACTACTACTATTTTTAAAATACTACTACTACTACTAGTATTAATAATAATACTACGCATGCTACTGCTACGACTACTGCTACGACTACTACTACTACTACTACTACTACTACTACTGCTACGACTACTACTACTATCACTACTACTACGACGACTGCTATTACGATTACTACACCTACTTTTACTATGACTACTACTACTACTACTACTACTACTATGTTTACCACTACTACTACTACTCCTTCTACTACTAATACTACTAGTACTACTACCACTACTACTACTACTACTACTACTACTATTACTATTACTATTACGTATACGAGTACTACTACTACTACTACTACTACTACTACTACGAATACTACGAACACTACCACTACTACTTCTGCTACTATTACGACTACGACTACTACAGCTACTACTACTACTACTACTACTACTACTACTACTACTATTTCGAGTACTACTACTACTACTACTACTACTGCTGCTACTACTACTACGACTACTACTACTACTACGAGCACTACTACTCATACTATTACTACTACTACTACTACTACTACTACGAACACTACTGCGAATATTCTACTACTACTACTACTACTACTACTACGACTACTACTACTACGACTACCACTACTACTACTACTACTACGACTATTACTGCTACTACTACTGCTACTACTACTACTACTACTACGACTACTACTACTACTACTACTACTACTACTACCACTACTACTACTACTACTGCTACTGCTACTGCTACTGCTACTACTACTACTACTACTACTACTACGACGACGACGACTACTGGGACTACTACGACTACTACTACGACTACTAGTACGACGACGACTACTACTACTACTACACTACTACTACTACTACCACCACCACTACTACTTAATCCTCCTCCTCCTGCTCCTCCTCTTCCTCCTCCAGGTGGCACGAGCTGTTCGGATTCTTTCTCCTCCAGCCACCACGAGGAGTCCTCACCCCGAAAGCCAGCGCGGGGCCCGTCCCTCTCTCTAGTGGATGGGGCCTGGCGGCGGACGGCGAGCCGTTCGCGATGGCCGCCCCCGCCGGCCTGCTGCGGGCTGTCGCCTACAACCCGTGTGCGGCCGTCTCCTCCTCCCGCCTCCTTTACATCGCGGAGGAGTTAGGCAGGCGGGATGTGATTGGACTTACAGGAGCACAGAGGAAAAACAGAGGCGAGCAGTGGGAGGAGAAGAAGGACGTGGGGGAGTACACGGTAGTGGAGGCGGGGTATGTGAAAGGGCGGTTCGTGAGCATTAGCTGTGGAGTGGCACTTATGCTACGACGAGAACGACTTCCTTTCCACTGTGCGAAGCACGTGTTCACGGCACCTAAGCAGATCTGGGGGAGAGTACACGGCGTGTTGTACGAGCGCGGTGGTGTGCGGTACGGATTTGTGGTGATGTACTACCCGCCCAAACAGACCACAAACCAGAACAAACCGAATTACGTCAAGACGACTCAGGTATTGAATGAGTGGTTGAGCAATGTGATGTCCTTCCTCCTGCAGAGAAAGGCCGCGCCCATCATCATGACGGATCTCAATGGTGCACTGCCATACTCGAGCCATGCCCACGTCGCGGGGCTACACGGCAAAGGCAATCCGACCCCCAGCAGCATTGCATTGCGCCCCCTCCTTGATGGGCGGGGCACATGTAGCATTGGCTTGCACTGGGAGCCACCCCCCACTTTCGTGGGCAGCAATGGGCAGTCGCACATCGATCACAGACTCACTCCCCGCGAGCTCATTCCTGCCACAGAGAGTCCTCGTGATGCGACGATCCGCCCGTCGGGTTCAGCTCTATCGAGGCCATGCGGATAGAGATCACAGGCCCGCATGCGCGAGCTTCATACTACAAAATCGGCCCCACATACCCGACCGCGAACGTGTACCCAGACCCAATCGGGAAGCCCTCTACCAATGTCTGCAGGTCGGGCATAGGAGGCGGGAGGTACTCAGCAGGATGGAGGAGCCGGCGGAAGCAAATGCCGACGCGCTTAACGAGGCCAAAGACAGGGAGGACGAGGACGTTGATGACATGAACACAGCGTTTATCAATATCCTGAACAGCGCTGTCTCCGACGTCTTGCGTGACAGCCCCATGCGCACCGAAGACCGCAAGGCGCACACCCAGGAGTTACGAGCACTACGCACGCAGAGGAGGAGGTACAAGGAGGAGCACGACGAGCACAACACCGTGGACATGAGCGCACGCGCCAAGCCTATCAGCACGACATTACGGCGCACTGCTAAAGAATATTGGGGAGGTATCCGAGCTCGAAGATGAGCTGAATTGAAGCAAGCCCTCAAAGAGCAGAATGGATATCTGGTCCAGCAGTTGGCCCGGCATCGCAGGAAAGAGAGGGGGGCCCAGGTGGGGGGGGTTCGCGGCAGTCCCTGGGTCCACGGCGCCAGCCAAGGCGCGGGCGCAAAGGTTGATGCTGGAGCCCGAGCGAGGAGGGCGCAGCGCCACCCCCTACAGCGTCGAGGAGACGAGGAGGGACTTGCAGGAGGAGAGGCGGGAGAGGATGGAGGACAGCGAGGCCGCCTATCTTCCGGTGGAGGACTGGGGGGGGACGTCGCCCACGGGCTGGAAACTGAAGTTTTTGAGGGCCTGGCCGGCGTGGGGCGCGCCCGCCCGAGCGATTGCGCATGGCGTTCCATCCCCGCAAAGTGAACGAACGTCGCCCTCTCGTCGCATCAGGAATCGGCTACCAGCAAGAGCGGCCGAAGATCCCTCGCACGAGAGGCACGCTGCAGGCGCTGCGCGGGACAAGCAGGCGAATCCGAAGATGCCCCGTCCACTGGCACTGCGCCCAGGCTGCCCGCACCCCCATGCCCAATCGTAAGTTGGACTGCGAGGGGGAGAGGCCCATAATGATGATGCGCGCCCTCGGTCGGACATACACTGCCGCAATGATTAGGAGGGAACAGCCCCCGTGGATCGCACCCGAGTGGATATGCGGAGGTATACGCGGAAGGAGGAGGGGGGCGGCCATGGGGGTTCAGCACGCGTCGCCCTACATATTGCACGCAGGAGGCGCGTCGCACCTGCTCAGGTGCCACGACGCTGTCAACTCCTTCTACAGTCTCTATCAGGATGAGGTTCTCGCGGCCGCCGAGAGTTGCCACCGGCCCCAGGACTTCCAGTTCATCGAAGATCGCGTCGAGAAAAGCTTGGTGCACATATATGATGAAACAGACAGTTTTTGGACGCGGGCTCATCGGGGTGCTTTTTCCAGGAGATACGGGGGCCACTCGACTCTTCAATCAGACTTACCTCCCCCGTTCGCCAAGTATGCCGACGCCGCCATCGATAATCGGTGGCGCGCCGTCCT